CACAAAAAAAAAAAAAAAAAAAAAAAAAAAAAAAATGACTATCAGTAACTCTCAGATCATTGATGCTGGAATTAATTATCAAAGGCAAAGGACAGAAATGGATTATATTTCTAAGCTGTAACCATGTTCTGAATGTCATTAGTGTATTTATCTTAAGGCTGATAAAAACCTTGTACAAGCCCATGCTTGCTGGCTGTGCCTCTCCAGGCGCCACTTTTCAGTCTGTCCAGGCATTAACCCATCTGGCAGACTGTGCAGTGTCTTCTGTGGCTCCACCTCCTGGCCCAGACACTGGCCCAAGGATGCCCTCTGTGATGGAGGCTCCCACCGGGGTCCTAAGCCTCCTGTCTAGTGGTGCTTGGGCTCCAGGGGAAAGCCTAGCAGGAAGAAGACTGGCACATTGCTTGTCTCAGGGCAGCAATGCCAGAAAGGGAGTCAGAGGACCCGGAATCAAGATGTCACATGTCCCGCCCATGTGTCCTGCCCTTCCTATAGAACCTTGAATGGCCCTTAAGCACCCTCACTTTGAGAAATGGGATGACAGCCTATTCCCCAAAGTGTCTCAGGGCCCACAGCAACACAGGAGGAAATAGAGGGTCAGGTTTGGTGACATAATCTGCTTAGGGACAGACCCACACAAGGATTGAGTCCTCAGATGGGGCCTGGATGCTCTTCTGGCTCCCTTAGCCTCCCCCCGACACCCAAAACAACAGCCATGGGGCACCAGGGGGCTTTCAGGAGTGAGGGGTCCCTGAGGCTCACAGCCTCCAAACATGCCCACACTGGCTCAAAGCAGAAGCCTGTTCTAGAGGAGGGGGTGTAGGGGCGGTTCTGTCCCCGACTGGGCCAAAGACAGGAGGGCCATGACCAACGTCTGAGTTCAGAAAGAGCAATTGAGTGCTGGCCAGACCGAGGTGGACACGGGACAGCCCAGGACAGACTCCAGAGTTCCCCTATCCAGCCAGGAACTAGCAAGCTCTGACTCAGTTTCCCTTCAGCCTGGGTCCTTTTAGGACCATGGAGAAGATAGATGTTAAACCCAGAGGTTTGGTCTGACTAGCTCCTCTCCCACTTGGCGAAGAGACACAGGACTGGTGTGGGGGCTCACCTTGCTTCCTGTCTGTGGGAACAGGGTCTTGGAGAGCGAGGAAGGCCGCAGGGAGTACCTGGCATTTCCCACCAGCAAGAGCCCAGGCCAGAAGGGGCGGAAGGACCTGCTGAAGGGCAACGGCAGACGCATCGACTACATGCTGTACGGCGAGGAGGGGCTCAGCCCGGACTGGAAGGCCGTGAGTCTGGGGACTGGGCCCAGGCAGCAGGGCCATGCCTGGAGACAGCAGGACCTAGGGCCCTGCAGCCCTTGACAGCACTGAATCTTCCTTCAGACCCCACACCCTAGGCCACTCTTTTAAAATGACACCTGAAATTCCCTCAGACCTTTAGGGCCCCAGGATCCTCCAGGGCCCAATCCCTCTGCCTTCAGGAAGATACATACCAGCCCCAGCCCAGAGGCCTTGCATTTGGGATCCCCAGGCTGCCCTCCCCTGCAGGCCCCTCCTTTGCAGGATGCCCTTTGGGTCTAATCAGGGTGCTTCTCTCCCCAATCAACCCAGGAGGTGGAAGAATTCAGTTTTATCACCCAGCTGTCCGGCCTGACCGACCACCTCCCAGTGGCCATGCGGCTGATGGTGTCTGCGGGGGAGGAGGAGGCATAGACCAGCCAAATCGCCGGTATCCAGAGCAGCAGGGCCTCTGTCAGCCCTTTGAGCCGCCGCCCATCCCTGGGCCATGTCCCCTCCATTGAGCACTCAGTGCTGGGGGGAGGAGGGCAGGGGACAGGGAGGGAGCCATGGCAGTCCCTGGGAGCCTGGAAGCAGTGCTCTCTGCACCTCTGGGGCCCTTGCTGTGGACAGAGGAGTCAGGCCAGCCAGGGAGCCCCCGGCTGCCTAACCAGTGCCATTCTTTCAAAACATGATTTTCTACAAATCTACAGCACAACCTAGTTTGTAAGCCGTGGGTTAGTATGAGAACCGGGTTTATGTACTATTTGTATCTCTTCTTAAGCTTCGTCCAGGGTACATGATTTTTGTCTGCTGCCAATGTCGTCTCGCATGCCTGCACCCTCGCATGCACGCTGCCCGCATGCCACGCGCCACGCCGTTGCCACACAGACCCCTCACTCGGGCCTCACCCAAGGCCAAACTCCAAATACAATCAGAACCAGCCAAAGAAGCACTTCCTGGGCCCGGGCTGCCAGCTCTCCTGCCTCCAGCCTGGACGGCTCACCGCAGGGACCACAAGGGCTGGGTTGTTACCAGCCAGCCCAGGGCTCTTCCCAGGGTCTTGCATTCAAGGGCGATTACATTTTAAAAAGAAAAACAGAAAAAGTTAAAAACAAACTCAACCCTTCACTTTCAAGGGTCTGCAAGTCGCCAGGTAGAACTTTGCTCTTCCTGAGACAGGGTCCCTTCTCCCAGCCCAGGCACACCAGGGTCCAGCTGGCTCTGGCCACCCCAGAGGCTCCTCCAGGAGACTCCAACCTGGGCAGTGGAGCCATAAACGGGAAATCCGAGAAGAGAGCATCATTTTTTTTACAGGAAGAAGGGGACTCGCAGCATTGGGCGGGGGGGTGATTTTGAAAATTATAGATTTGTAGCTTCTTCTCTTCTGTCAAAACCAACACATCCTCCTCTTTCTGCCTATCCCTTTTCTCCCCCCCCCCCCCCCCCCCCCCCCCCCCCCCCCCCCCCCCCCCCCCCCCCCCCCCCCCCCCCCCCCCCCCCCCCCCCCCCCCCCCCCCCCCCCCCCC